GTCAGTCAGTCAGTCAGTCAGTCAGTCAGTCAGTCAGTCAGTCAGTCAGTCAGTCAGTCAGTCAGTCAGTCAGTCAGTCAGTCAGTCAGTCAGTCTAATGTCTGGAGTTGGAAGTCAGAACAGCTATGTGAAAGACCACTGGAGTGCAGAAGGACTGAACTAGACCTACAAACAAAGGAGCTGTGAGTGCTTGAATGTAAGAAATCTGTGTGAATGAGAGATTTGTTTTGTTTTGTGAAGAAGCAAGACACTGAGTCCTGCATGGAACTAAGTCTGTGTGACTTTAAAAGTTGTTTGTATATGAACCTGGTAAGCAGCTCAACCACCTGGTGGGTTAGTTCGGAAAAATACACAAGTTAACAGCTTAAAGAAGATCTAGGCTTTTGTTTGGTTTGTGGAGGTTGGTTGATTCCTTGCTTTTTAAAATAAGGAGTGTTGTTTCTGAACCCTAGAGCTGGTGTCTGTTGTCCTGGGCCTGCCTATGTTAAGAGACTTTGTTATAATGCCCCATCAGGCATCACAATATATACATACAGTAGAATGCCAATGGATCCTATGTTTTCATTGAGGATTTTCTAAACATGATAAGCATGCCCCTCACATGATGCTGAAGAGAAGTGAGGAGACAGTGGGGTCCTTACGCCATGAGTAGGTTGGCACCAGTGCTTGCCAAGCAGCTCTCGTGGTAATCTTGCTGGCGAGAGCTGACCCCGGCAATCCCAAATGCCAGGCCCAGAACATTGAGCACCACGATGAACAGGATCACGCAGCAGAGTGCAATGACCACAGCCCACCTGCAAGAACCAAGAGACTGAATCACTGGTGGCAACTCAAAGCAGCCTGAAGGGTCTTCTGAGTGTGTATGTGGTGGGATGGGGACAAAGCTGCAGACTTCATTGCAGCTGGACTTGTAAGCTCTGCAGAATTTATGCAGTGGGACTCATGAAACCAATAAGTGAAGGTAGACTGCTGGACAGTTTGCATTCCCTTTGTAAGTGTTATATTGCCTCTGTGGTTAGGTGGTATTGTTTAGTGCTAGATGCCTATTAACAAAGATCAGGTTATTTTTGTTTGTAATAGCTGTCTCTTCTTCACAACAGGACTAAAGGTGTGGCTGTCCCCCATCCTGACTTGCATCCCTAATCATGTAATGTAATAATGTAATGAGCCACAGCTGGCACAATGTTGTACAGCTTTACCTGTAAAAGTCATATCGCTTGACCTCTTTTCCATATGATGCAATGGGGTTCTGGATATTAGTGATCTGCTGAGAGATGGACGCCAGGGAGGGGAACTGCTCACTGCTCTGCATGATAGACTTCTGAATATCATCCAGAAAGAGTATTACAGCTGTGAGGATAGAGCAATGTGAACAGTGTTACCCAATTGGCAATGGGATTCTTAAAAGACATGCTGGGGTGTTGTTTTGTGTTTACTCAAGTTGAAATTGTTTGCCAGCTTTGGGAAGACAACCAGGGATCGAAAAAGCCTCCTAACACATAGACCAAGCGAAACAGATACGGATTATCACAAATCTGCACAAGAAACATGGCACTGAAAACTGAGGGGATCCTGCAGGAATTCTGTTATTTGAAATCTATTTTTTATGAACCTAAGAAAGGTTACAAAAGAGAGGAGGATATTTGATACCATGCAGATTGGATGGTAATTACTAGTAATTGAACCAAGAGTCTCAAATAGTCCTTTATTTTAAAGGAACAGGGGTGTTGGCATCAAAGAGGATTTTTTATGTTGAAAACAAGAAATTTAATGACAGTAAGCATCTGATCAAAGTACTTACCATCTACTTTCTTAGTGGTTTGATTTCTACACATCTGCGGAATATCATGGAAGGTTTTATTTCCCTGAAACAAAGATTACAGAGATGTTTTTATTTTCGCAGTATAAGTCTTGCACTTAATCATTGCACTTTTTATAAAACTCTGCACAGCACTCTGGAGGGAGACCATTTGTAGACTGTAGATTTTTGAGAAGGAAGTAATGTTTTTTATATGATTTACTATATATAGAGAAATACAGTCCTAAAACCCTTTGAAGAACAAAGTATCCATAGCTTTAATCCTTGTTCCATACTATAGTATTGTATAATCAGACTGATAGTTTAATACTTACAAGCATCTTGCATCCTGAAGGCAAGTGCATAATATTTTACACAAATCTGAATATCATTTGCCAAACTTGGTTGGGTGCAAGCTTTACCATCTGGACTGTTGTATGTTGGATCTTTTAGCTCTAAAGTTTGGCTGTGGTCACCTGCTCCAGCTCACCTTTTCAACCAGGTTTGTCAGGTTGGCTGTTGGCATACTCTTCAGCTCTTTCTCCACACTGGGAATCTACAGCAATTCATAGAACACAGCTGTAATAACAGTACCTGCTCGCACAGTTATAAAATCCAACAAAATGTGCTTGCTCATCTGATTCTTCGAGGAGCAGCCCATGCCCAGAGTACAGAGTGCAGGATGGTAGGAGGTAGGAGGCCACTGTTTTGAATCTAATCTGTGTAGCTTGTAAGAGGACACTTGTAGCTTCAGTAAATTGGTCCAGTGGCTTCATTACCACAACTAGATTCATGCTACTCTTCTCAGTCTGATATTTAAGCACATATACTGGATTAAGGAGTGTGAAGAGGTGATCAGCTTGGAATGTACATGCCACACGGGCTTTCATTTAGTTAGGTCAAGGCAAAATGAATTGAATTGTTCAATTAATGCCTTGATCATTGGATACACAAATAGGAAAATGCTGTATTGTATTGTGAAGTTTGAATAATCAATTGAACAAATGCAATCTGAAGAAAGATCTCAACCAAAACTGGATCTAAAATGTCATTAGAGGGAAAAATTGATTAAGGATAGATTTAATATAAGTCTTAACCATTCTGAAAGCAATGGCTTCTTAAGAGCAAGCATGCCCATCTAGTCCAATATATTTGATGGCAGCTGGGGCTAGGTCAGTATCGGCTTGTTCACCTCACTGTAGTTTGCATCAATCTGCAGTTTCCCCACATAAGGAGACAGAGCCGAACAGTTTCTGCAGTTCTTCATTATGGCTTGCAATGCTTCCTGATGCTGTTTCAGCCCAGAGACCAGCGAGATCTGACGAGACTGGAGGGTGGCTGTTGTCTCATTTATGGATTGCAGAAGCTCTGTTACATGCACTGCCTCTGTGAGAGGAAAGAATAAAAAAAGATACAACATCATAGTACCATGACCACGAATACACGAATAAGTACAATAGAAGTGAGCTAACTCATATTCCACATTTCTTTTGGCCACCCACAAAATACCTCTATAAAAATCTCAACATTGAAATTTAAGACTAGTTTGACACCTGCTAATTGCTTTCCAGCTCTGACCAGGTTGGGGAGTTTCTCCATTTACAGGAATAAGTGTGAATGAATTATTTGTGTATTAATCCTTAAAGCTTCCTCAAATTACGTAATTTAAGACTTAGTGGGAGAGACAGATCTTCCAATCCTTTGAAACAGGTGGGAGGGGGTGTTGCTTTCTTAATGCATTGTTGTCATTATTTAGAAACTAAAGAACATGTCTGAAATTGCTAAGCAGTCCCAGGCTTTGAATAGTTCAATGTGTTCTGTACAGTTCAAATACAAATGAAGTTTAAATGTATTATTGTGCTCATTGTATTATGATAATACCCACCTAAATTGCACAATGGTGGTTTTTATTGGAATAGCTTATGTATTTGGTTCACTAATGAAGTACATCCCAAAAGACTAATACACTTGTTTTTTTTATCTTTTTGCACGTTCTTAGATGTTTTTTTCTCTCTCTTGTTGGTGTCAGAATTTTATATATATATTCCTTACATTATATAATGTGCAGCATTCCCTTTTATGCATAACTGGTAATAAATAGGGAAATATTAAAAAGTTCAGAATAACTGCTGGTAATGGATAACTAATGTCATACATCTATCCAGGGAAGGTATTTAAAAGAGCACATTGTAGCGGCAATGCTTATTAGTAAGATGGAATTAAGTGTTGCGTGTGATGGACACACAGAGGCCATTCCATGTGTTTTCTTACTGATAAGGAACCATCAAAGAATGGGGATGCGGCTAAACAGTCACGATCAATGGCCATTCCTGGTGCCTAACTGTCCATGAGATTCTCGGGAACGTCTGGATTGCGGTCCTAGGGTCAGAGTTCATTGCTACTCAACCAATCAGGTTCGTGGGTCCCGAATGCCCGCCAAACTCTCGACCAATCAGCAGCCATATTGTCTCTAGTTAAAAAGGCGCGCACAGGCCTCAGACCAGGCTCCTCCGTCCCCTCTGGCGCTCTCTCTGACTTAATCACGTGACTGCTGGCACTGTTGTCTGAGTGTGGAACTTTGTTCCAAGCGCCGAGCCAGGGGGAAGCCCGTACGTTAAGATGGAATTCTTCTTTAGAAGCCTGCAGCACAGACCTCGTGAATGCTAGCAAACCGCCATGGACGCCCGCCTGATCGACAGAAGCGTTACGGTTGGATCCTTGGCGACAACTCAATCCTTGTCTTCAGTTTCCCCTCCCCCCAAAACAGCAGCTTGCTCGGACCCGCGGTTCAGCCCAGACGCTGACTAGAGGAGGTCCTGTGGGAGCAGTGTTGTCTAGCATGTCACAGCAGCAGCTATTTCTCCTTCTTCCCACGACTCGGAGCTACACCAGGACTGGGAGCTACAGCAGGATTTGAAATGCAAATCCGCGTCTGGATCAGTAACCCAATATTCTACATTGCCTCTCGAGAATTCAATTGTTATCTCAACACGGGTTGACATCAAGTTGATCCGTATGAGTAAATGTATTGACTTATGAGTATTGAATGTAGAATCTGTATTAATGAGACTGATTAACGATATGGTATACTGGAGCATATTCCTTGTTTGTATCTCTTGTGATATTCTACAATACCTTGGTAACCCTCACAGTAAGATCTGCCCTCTGTATCCAGGCTACCTGATATAGTTTTATATGCACAGTTTTATGTATTACTGTATTCCGTGTGTGTATGCATTGCTGATTTTTATGACAAATGATCCTCGAATCCTCGACATAAAAGAGTCAACTCATAATTTACTGTTACAATTAATAAATTGTTCCAGTAAGTTCACAAAACCCCTACAACATATCTGTACATGTGTATACTATTTTTTAGATTTTAGTTGCTGCCTTCCAGTCATTTCCACTGAGGAAAACTGGCTTTACCAGATTATAAACTGTTGGGTTTATGTGGAATTAATACAAGAGATAGTTGTAACAGAAATATGTAACAGAAATAAATATATAAACTGTTTTAACAGTCTCACTATTTTGGTTATATGAGAGGGAGTTGGTGAAAAGGATTCCCTGGGATTCTGATTTTTGGCTTGTTATTCGGACATAGAGGAATTACTTACTATTCTCCTCTAATCCTGTTAACATCAGTCACACTAATGCATCACTACATTTGTCTTGGTACATACTGTATATCTTTATACGTGTGTATTATTTTTGTAATATCGATTGCTTAGATGTAAACTAAAGCACTACTTCATCAGACCAGACCATATGTGCGGTATAACTAGGCCAAATTCCAACATCACACAGACACAGACGTATCCATCAGGGCCCCAGAGTTCTAGTGGTGTCAATGGAAGTCTATTAAAAAGAAACCTAGCAGTGGATTGATTACCTTGTGCTGAAATGGACAGCTCCCTCGTTGCATTATAGGCTGAGCTTTCAAGAGACAAGATGATGGCATTTCCAATTTGATCACCAACACCTGGAAAAGGTCAAACACATGAACCAACAGGGAAGAGAATAACAGCATTTTAGGCTGGCAAATAGCAAATACAGTACAGAACAGTAACCATCTGAGCATATATAGAAACAAAAAGGTTACCTTTTAATTCTTCTATTATTTTTTTCTCAGGGACAGTATACTCTTTGGCAATAAATCTGATTTTCTGTGAAAGAGAAATGAATCAATTCATTAGATCACCAAGAAGAAATTTTCATTTCACACATTTCTGGCATTACTGTACTCTAAAATACATCGAAACCAGGGATCTGAAGTCCCTGTTTTCTGATTCATGAAGGCAGCTTTTAACAGAATTTCGGAAATCAATTTCATAACAATCAACTCTATTTAACCTTAGGACCTTAAAAGAACCTCTGATAACTCTAATTTAGTGCTTTTTGAAAGGAAATTAAATGGTGTCTAATTTTTCATATGTGCTTAAATTGGTAGTTCAATATCTTCATTTGATGTTTTGTTGTGTGTGATGCTGGGTTTCATTTACTGTATGTATATATTTATATTCAGTGTATGAAATATACCATAAGAACTTCTCCTGAATGACAGCCCTTTATGAAATACCTTAATGTTTCTTAAAGCGTTCTTCAGGATTCTTACCTCAATGACTCTTAATGAACCAGATGAATTGTATATATTTAATTTCTGCGTATTGTTTGCCTTTTCTGCTTACAGTATTTTATGTTTTTATCTTTTAAATCCTCCAAGAGAGATATGCCTCTTTCTACTATTTCATTTGGGCAAAACTGTAATGAAGGGCTTAAATTAGGAATGGGTTAAATATGTAAAGCAAAATAATATTTTCCAGTTATTATAATTGTAAAAAACAGTTAAATAATAACTAGATTAGTTTATTTTTGGTTCAAATGAAAGCAGGTGCTCAACAAGTCAGCATCTAGAATAAGTCAACCCCAAATTTCAAAGAGCACCTCCTGGGTTTGTAACAGAACCATGGCAGTAAAAGACTATAAAATAAGCCAAAACTGAAGGACTGCTGTTTTTTGCACTTTGTGCATTTACTGTTGGTATAATAAAACTGCAGAAACAAAAAGGATTATATTGTAATCCAACACCTTCATTTCCCCTGACTCTTGACGATTGAATCATTTACAGTAAATTCTGCGGTTAGAATTGTTTACTTCTGCTATCTATAGTGATAAGCTTTTTTTTTTCTTTTCAAAATGCTGTATCGAGCGGAATTAGTAACCTTTCAGGATGATAGCTCATGAGACTCTTTTGTTAAAAGCTGCTTCCTTATTCCCGTGAAATAATTATTGCAAAAAGAGATGTTAACTCTACTACGGCAGTTCAGTGTTAAGCAATCAGTGGCCTGGTTTTTTGTTCAAATCAATGCTTGAAAGCTTGTTTAAAACATTCAGTACAGCTGTTTCCACATGATGCTAAAAGACATGTAGAAATCCTAACCACACCATTGGTATATAACCTCAGATAGCAAAGAAAATCATTGCTCAGAATAAAGGGGTTATTCATATGTGAAACCAGAGCCACAGAATTAGAAATAATCTAAAACCGTTTCCCAATAAGGGCCAAATTCCCAACAGGTTCTAATGGGATTAATAGCAATTAACTACAACATGATAAACATTAGGGATTCACCAACGAAAAAAAGAAGCATGTGATAATCTGTGATGCTCACCCAGGAGATACGCATGCAACTGTACAGGTGCTAAATGCATCGTAATGTAGGCAAATAATGTAATGTAGTGAAATAATAAAAGTAAGGAGGGTGAAATGATATGCGTGGTATTCACATGTACAGTTGATTCCCTACAATGTTTGCCTTCTACTCGTCTTACGGGAAACACATTCATTTTTTCGCTTCTCATTTTGGAAAAGAGGTGAACAGGTCAGTAGGAGGTTCAGAGTTTTGCCAGGGTCATGTGAGTGCCCACTCCACCCTGACTGGGCATAATGGATTCAAGCCAGCAGCCCTGCTCAGCCCTAAACCCATAAACCCATGTTCCCCAGCCTCACAGACGCCAAGACCCCACGCCATGTCCTGACCTCGGGAAGAGAGGAGAGAAGCTCTGCCATGTCCTTCAGATCGGAGATGACAGACTGCACCCCAGGGTCCACATTCTCTGTCACTCTGCCATTGGCAATGAAAGCCAGGATCACCCCCGCCCTGCGCGAACACAAAAATATAGATCCCACACAGCACAACATCCATCAAGACCAAGAGCAGTTTTGGTTTGACTTGCAAATTCATTTTGCCGGAAACATCGGCTTGGGGTTCATAACTACAGCCCATTTCAGCATGAGGACAATAATGGGGACTGACTGGGATTGAGGTCAGGGCAACAGTAAATGGACTGAAACCGGGATCTGGGAAAAACCCTTGATGACACAGATAAGAGTCTGAGTAACAGTGAGGCAGGGCAGGCAGACTCCATTTCCAGTACAGCCACTGCCATTTGACAGCAAGTCTCAAAGGACCAAAGAATTAAGTGCTCTCACCTAGGTACCGAATAAAACACAAGAAATCGAAACGATTGCATTCGTTTTCAGTCATGGTATCACTGGAATCATTGAAACATGTTTCACAGAGAGTGATTAAAGGACAGACAGTATTCCAAAGTGACAGGATAGATGGAAGGGATAGAACACTATACTATAGCATTCAGGGACAGGAAATTATCCTAGAGGAATCAAGGTCTCAGAATCTATGTGGGGCAGATTCAGGAAGTGGTTACAATGGGTGATATTAATTTTCCCCACACAGGTTGGAAAAAACCCATCAGAGACACAACAGCAGCTGAAAACGGAATCGTTAAACATGGTTAAAACATTGCTTCTTCTCTTATTTTGTCCAGACATCTACTATATGTCAAATCAGGTGTTTTACCAATTATGCTTAAGATAAAAGATGTTATTCTTAACACAATTTTTCCAAGGGTCACTTCCAAATAGACAGGGTTAGTACCCATGGAGTAGAAAATTGCTAATCCATTAATAAGAAGAAAACCTAAACGAAGTAATAACAGACCAATAACAGACCAGGCAGTTTTACTTCCATTACTTGTACAGTAAAGGATCTAATAATTAGAGCTAAATTAAATTATCTGTATGATAGTAAGGGTCTAGGGCATAGCTAATGTGAATGTAGCAAAGAGAGGTCTTGCTGAAATAACACATTAAAGTTCTTTGAACAAGCAACAGCAGGAATGGATACAAATACAGCATCAGATATGGTAATAAATACATTTTCAAAGAATGTACAGTAGTTCCCAACACTTGACAGACTTCGCACAATTATATGAAACTGGCATAAACACAAACTAGAAGATCAGAAACACTGAGCTTGAAGTGCTACCAATTAAAAAGATTTTGGTATTTATGTACTGTATATACAAGCAAACTGTGAGTTGCGTAGTTAAACTGTGTAGAATTGAAAGCAAGGAATGTTATGATAACATTTTACAACTATCTAGCAAGTTCTAATTTAGAGTATGGTGTAAATAATTCTGATCACCACGTTACAGAAAAGAAGATTCTAGTGCTGCACTAGAATCTGTCCAGGGAGGAGCAACCCATAACATTCCTGGGACTGACAGGCTCAAACACTGCAATTAAATATTTTAAGTCTTGAGCAAGAAGACTAGAATGCTCAAAGAAACTAACACGGTCAACCTTAAGGAGTTCTTCAGGATCAACACAACTCTCTGAAATTATGGGAAAGTGCATTTAAACTGTTACCAAGAGGAAACTTTCCTACACTAAGGGTTGGGAGCTTGTTTCAGACTCTCACATCTGTCAAAGTGGACACCCTGACCTCTTTCAGAAAATATCTGGATGAGCACCTTAGATCACTAAACCTCTAGCTCACCTGCTCTAGAGGCACAGTAAAGCTACAGGAATGTGTGGGATGAAGTAAAATTCTAGACAGAAAACAATTTAAAGCATCAGACAGAACCCACTTGCAGTACTCTTGTTTTCTTTATTTCGATTCAAAATATTGTCTTGACGAAGAACTTTTAATTTACTTTTGCATGAAGCAGAAGGTATTAAAGGCATTACTGCTCCAATTTGTTGCACAAACTAAGGATTTATTCCGCTGAATCAGCCTAAAAGGTATAGTGTAAGAACAGGTGTGAAATCCTTACTTTCATATAAAGGAGAAATTAATTGGCTCTTTACTTGAAACTGCACCTGAAATTCCTATTGAAAGTGACCGGCCCTGTCTTGCGTGTTTAGTTACTGGTGGAGCTGAGAGCGTCCACGCTGTGCAACTGAGGATGGCTGAAAGGGAGACTTACAGGATGATGATTGTGATAGCACCCAGACAAGTTGCCAGTGTGTTGCGATGGCAGCTCAGGGATTGTTGATTATGCTTGACCTTCCCTCCGCAGTTTCCACAGCAACGGCAGCAGGCGAAGATCACGCCCACCAGGGGCATGAGCAACACATAGAGGACAGCAATGATGAGGCACACAATGTATCCAGCCTCATAGCGTGCCACCTGGACAGACAGGCACACAAGCAGTCAGACCGCACCACACCCACTGCATAGACTGTAAACAGGACGATCACAAGGGATGTCAGAAGACATTCCGCAATTGAAATCCCCTTAAAACGGCTGATGTTCATGTGGCATAAAAAAAACACAGAGGGAAAAGGGTGGGTCTGCTTCACTGAGTAAGACCATGGTCAAAATCTCTGTTACCCGCATAAATTCAGATCTGCCATATTATTTAAAAAATCATACATTGAAGAAGGGCATCAGGACAACCTGTGTGGTTTGTGATATTGCTGTGTCACTTGTAAACTAAGCATGTTGTGGGTTCTTTATTAATGAAAGTGATGCACAACATTTATCTGCCTGTGAATGACCCTAATGATAATGTTTCTGAAATACACCTACAGTGCTCTTGGTCAGATGACAGTGTTAAAATCAATGGAAGTTGTCATTTGACTAGCACAAAAAAAAAAGCTTCCGTTGTGAATTCTATGGGACATAACTAAATACATTAGAAGTAAAAAAATATTGGCTTAAGAAAGGGTGGAGCTGATCATCTTCTGCACACTGACTAGTGACCAGGAACGTTTGTGCTTGTCTTCTTTGTTGTTAATTCTTCCTCCTTTTTTAAAATAACCTGCTCTGTGCATCACCTGATTTGATTTCTCCCACAGGGAAGTAATTATGGGTCTTTGTTACACCTGGCTGAATCGTTCACTGTTGCTGGAAAGGGGAAGTTACAGGTCAGCACGCTTCCACCAGATTGCAGGAACCACAGCAGGTAAATGCAAAGTCTCTTTAGCAAAATAATTCATGTCTTTCTTACTGCAGACGAATGACCACATAGCTTTTGGGTAGGAGGCATTACCACTCCAATTTCTCAAATTGACAAAAGATTGAATCCCCTGAAATAAGCTGAAATTTAATTTATAAGAACAAGAGAAAGAACAATTTATAACAAAGATCCTTATTTTTAGATAAATAATCAACTAAGAGGCTGTAAGCCTGTCTTTCATGATAAGGCTAAAGTATTGATTGTTTTCCACGAGCTTTGATGGAATATTATTTATTTTTAAATTCCCAGCTTTTAAAATATTTTTCTTCCACTAAAAATCTCAATTAGAAATTTGAATTAAGTTAAAACTGAATTGGAAATTTAATTTTACATACAAAAGTCATTCGTTCTTTATCCTTTTAGACCATTTTAAAGTGTTTTTACCACTTTTGTAAGTTGCAAACTGAGAGACCAATGAAGTGAAGCAATCTGAGAGCTTTAACCAGTTATATTTTTTTTCATTACTGTGCAAATACCAGTCCTTGGGAAATAAAAACCAGACAGCTCATGCTATATTCAGTCATTGCACCAGTAAAAAAAAACTTTAAAATGTCGCTTAAAATCCCTCCTGGAGGTAACAGCATGTGGTTAAAATTCTCTTTGATCACCTGTTCAAAGTACCCTGGTATTGAAATTCACAAGCCATGCTTTTCATTTCTTGAAGTTGCACAGCACATTGGGATCAAAGGCACTGCCCTGAACTACCGTCTGTTCAGCTATGTAGCATCTGACTTTGTTGGAGCACCTGTCCTCACAGAGGGATGACACCCTGACTGGGCAAATATCAGAGGGTTAACTAAAATTCCTCTTCTTTATATTTCCTAGCCAAATATTTAAAATAAATAAAGGCGAGGCTGAAATCATTTGGTTAACAGAGCTCGGACGTATATTTCATTTCAGCAAAGGGCATTTAATATTTGAATCCCTTACCTTTGCTGGTTCAATGTGTTTCTCCAAGGCAGCTCTCAGTAGGTCTGAAACACAGTTTGTCACGCTTAGAATTTTGTCACCTTTCAAAGAGTGCACCCTCTTTGTCACCTTCCTAAATAAACCTCAGTATTATATGGAAATGCTTATGTGTCAAAAGCCAGCACAGGAGTTTTAGTATCTGTTGCTTTAGAGAGGGCCCGCTGGCCGTTTCCACTTTCCGAGGAAAAAGGCTGAGATTTTTTGTGTACTCCGTGCTGAAAAGAGAAGAAAGAAACCACAACGTTTCAGCTGTGGAGCCTCCTTCAGGCGTGAGAAAGACTTTGCTTACTGCCCTGACTTTCTTACACCTGAAGGAGGCTCCACGGCTGAAAATGCTGTGTTTTCTTTCTTCTCTTTTCAGCATGGAATAAACCTACTACCTGTTCCTTTGCAGCCTACGTGTGCTGACGCAGCTACAGTATCCCCCTGACATTTTTTGTGACCACCAATGTTAAAATAAAAGTTTTCAAGTGAGAGGATGCTATTTGATCTGTCTAGCTTGTTTGAGTTTTAGTGGCCAACTGATGTGAGGATCCCCACCAGCCGTTTGTTGAAGGATATCAGGGTATCAGCTTTGACCACTTGGCTGGGTGGCGCAGGGGCTGGAACCTATCCCAGCCAGCAGCAAGCGCAAACCAGGTGGGACACCAATCCATTGCAGGGCACACACACGCTTACACCAGGGACAATGTTCCCAGACGCCCATGAACCTACCAGTATATCTGTGGACTCGGGGAGAAAACCAGAACACCTAAAGGAAACCCATGCAAACACAAGGAGAACATACAAACTCCACACAGATGGCACCCCAGGTCTGGAACTGAACCCAGGACCCCAGTGCTGACCACTGTGCTTCTGTGCCTCCCATGTACAAGGTACAGCTGCTTTAAATAGAAAAGATGACAGTATGCATGGCAGCTCAGACAAGTACAAAAGACACACAGGATCTACGATGTTTAAGATGTACTTTCTACACAGTCTCTTGCGACATTCATCTACAGCGGTATATGAACCTACTAGAACCCAGTCAAAGAAAATCCTCACGCTGTTCTTCACTGAGAATACCTCCAGGGTGGAGTAATGTACTTCTTTTGTGTAAATCTAGATCCAAAGAAAAAAAAAGACTTACCTTTGGGAAAGGAATTAGGCTGCACCGCATCCAGAAACAGGTGAACAAAGCTGTAAAGCTGCGTCAGCGAACCGGCAGTATTCGGTGTCCGTTTTGGTTCGTGTTTGTCTATGGTGCCGAACTGGAGAGCGACAGAACTATTCGAACAGCTCTGGATCCGAACCGCACTGGACCAAGCGCACACCGCTATAAGACACACCACTCCACCTCGCCAAAGCGCCTTCATCGTCTAACCACGGCGTGGCTGTGAAAGGTTATTTTATAAAGCTTTAAACAATTATATGAATTTATGTTTAGATATAATTTAAAACGGGTTCAGATTTAAACAAGACGTCGATGCGAATTCGAGTAAAGGGATAAAAACTCCTGCTAGACCGCAGTTCTTAAAAAAAAAAAACTTCACAAAAAAAAAAAATAACCGTAAGGTGAATCCTTACGGACTTCTCAGGAGCGCAGATCTTCCCAAAAGTAATATGCTGTATGTATCAATATCTCTTTATTTCCACACGTATTTTTGTAAACGTGTGTTGTTGTTGTTTTTTACGATTTCTGCGTTGTTTAATTTAAAGTGTACTTTCGAACAGGAGAACGTTATCACCTTGCTCTGCAGTTTACCAGTCTCTTAGTGTTAGTTCTTGTTTGGTAAGTTGCTTGCGTTTGTGCACCACCATCGCGTCCGTTGACCGCATTATTGCGCTTGAGTACTGTCCGCGCGTCAGGGCGGCGCACTGCGAATGAATCAACCGGTTTTACAAGTAATTACTATTGTCTGTTAGCAACAGCTGAAGCAGCGGAAATAGAACAAAATACACAGTATGTCCTCTTATCTTAAGTCAACTTAAAATAGTTGGAAGGTCTGTATTTATCCTTCTTATAAAAGTTAACCTACCGTATTAGTAGTAATGATAAACCAGCAGTGTGCATTCTATTTAGTTTGATTTCTTGGTGATCTCCTCCCACGCTAATGTTCCGCTCGTATTAAAATAAAAGGCAAACTAGCAAATGCAAATTTGGACCAGGCAAGTATAATGAGAACATCAGGAAAAGCTGGAAATTTACATCACCCAATCACAGATTTAGCGTCCTTGGACGAGAGCTTTCATGGTTTCATTTCGGAACTAGAGCGAGAAATGTAACAACGACACGACAAATAAAGCAAGAGTGAAATCAGGAGAATTTCCAATAATCATGGCCTGCGATGCTAGACCTGTTTTGCTAAAGCCAGGCGCCTCAAACTCAGCTTTCAGTATTTGTATCTCAGTTGCGAGCTCTGAAAGATTCGTGAGTGAGTGTAAGATATATATTGTTTGTAATGATTATTATGAAAAGAATTATTAGAGCAATAACGGTATGACACTTTTCTTCCCCAAACCAAATGTTACTTATTGAACAAACAACGTATTTTGAGCTTGTTCATTACATCTGGTTAAAATGTTCAATTAAGAGATCTTGAAACACCGTATCACTGTGTTATTGTGGAACTCTACACAAGTCTGCAATTGGAAAATAACGTTGTTAGAGATGAAGAGAGGTCTTGCTTACTGAATGTCTGTGGCTGAGTAACATTTTTATGTTGTAATTGATGACAATGTGGGTGGCACAGCAAAATCCAAGAAACCGGTTGTATTGTACAAGTAGCACTCCAATAAAGCAGTACAAATCCTACAGAAAAGGGTTATATAATCAATAAAGTACCTAACCAAACTCCAAACGTTATAGGGGTACTGTAGCACAGAGATAAGATCTCCACTTGTCATGTGGTGTCTGCTAATCTCAGTCTCTTCAGGTGCTGTAGGATCTCATTTTCATTCCAAATTTAAGCAGTGATCGTATTCTTGGCTCAGCAGGAAATATTCAATGCCATTAAGTTGATACTTTTTAAGACAACTTATTCAAAGAAAAGACCCTGTTAAATATTTCCAGTTAACCTAGTAATCACACCCATTTAGTAAGAGAGGCTTCAGGACAGTGAGAAAGCATGGAGATCATATTACCCCCTAGAAACTAATCCAGTCTAGCTTCCTGGACTGTAATTTCAAGTATGCAAACAGGGGTAGTGAGCACATATCCTGCACATAAATAAAACTGAATAATACAAATGGGATTTGCCAAAGAATATGGTATTTCTTGCAGGTAGTCATCAAGCACGTTTTCACACCCAGTGTGTGTAAGCATATCAGGCATCCTCTCATTGCACGGCTGTAATCATTACGATCAGTACGAAGATTAAGATGAAAAATAATACATATTACACATTTTTAGATAAGATCACTTTATTAGCCATATACAATTTCTTGCATTAGGAATTTGTCTTTTCCCATACCCCAGCTTGCTCTCCATGAGACACAGACAGCGAGAGAAGCTTGGAGTCAGAGCACAGGGTCAGCCATTTATTCGGGGGGGCAGTCGGGAAGCAGTTGGGGTGAAGGGCCTTGCTCAGGGGCCCAATAGAGTGGGATTCTTCTGCCAGCCATGGGATTTGAACTAGCAACCTTCCAGCTACAGCGCCACCGCTCCACCCTTTAGAACCTGGCCAACAAGGAGCAGGAGCACAGGCCACTTGATCTGTAGTGGTCAAGGCTTAGACCTGAGATATGGACACCATACAAGTGGCTTTTCCAAATCAGAATGGTATAGCAAATAATTAAAATGTCTAAATTATTTGAAAATATATCAATTTATTTAAATATAAATCAGTGAAATATTCATAATTATATTTATAATTAAAATAAATAAAGAATAAGTATGATGTGAATATAAAATACAGAAATGAGAGGGATACAAGTTGTGCTAGTGTGGAGATCTTACACAAATATATTGAATAACCTCTGCCTCTGTAAAATACAGCTTTTCTGTGTTACAATTATTAGCTCCAGTTTCCTTCCACAGTCTGAAGACGTACTGGTGGGTGAATTTACTTCTGTGTGCGTGTCTGTGGCTTCCTGTCCAGGGTGTATCCTGCCTTGTGCCCTTTGCTTGCCAGGATAGACTCCAGCTCCCTCTAGATCCTGAACTGGATGAAGCGGTTTTAGGAAATGGATGGAAGGACGATTGGCAGCTGAGAGTATATAACAGTCTTTTGTTTTGTTTTTCTGTTACAAGTTTCACTTAAGGAGAATTATGACTGAGCACGGAGCTATGGTTCGAGCAGTGTGTTCCAGTTTCATTCACACTTCGGATCTTCGGAGGCCATTTTCCTCTTTGGATCCGGCTTCCTAGCAGAGATAGCACTTAGGATGCGGACTGTACTGTTACTGACATACAAGATCATTTAAAGTTCACAAGTGATCATCAAACTTATTTCATTACCTTCTCTTTTCACCTCGCAACACCTTCTCTCCCAGTTTCAGACCAGCCCCAACTAGCGCATAGCCCATCAACAACTCTTAACAGCCAGTAGAGGTTGTGCATTTAAAGTACAATTTTGTCAAGGTTAACAAACTGCGGTCATTTATATATTTGTTTATGAGAGCACGATTTATTGTTTTGATGTTTCTATGCTAAACAATACGTTAAAAAAGGAGGCTTGTTTCACGTCTCCTGCAACAGTGCTGGCATTTGCAGTAAATACTGTACAGTTACAGTACGTAGTGTTCGAGGACTAGTGTATTGAAAATGACCTCTTGTTTGCTTTGCAGGGGGAGGGAACTATGGGGACATTTACTTTTCAAGCATCCTTCCAGTAATTTAACTCTTTTATTGTGATTCATAATTGGCTGGTTTTCATTTGGGACGTTATTATCTAAATGACTCAGTGTCGAACGGCTAATTGTTTTTAAATCTGACCGTACAGAATGGCATGGAAGCAAAGACACACCCACCGATCCCTTTTCTAACTGTTGAATCCAGTACAGGGTCGCAGTGGGAGCCGGAGCCTATCCCGGCAAGCAGCGGGCGCAAGGCACCCTGGGCGGGACGCCAGAAAATGCGGGCTTGGGTGTAAGACACCAGGAATGGGTTGGCTCAGCTCAGTCGATGAAGGGCGCGCTTCTTCTCCTATCCACAAGTCGGCGCTGGTCCTTCGGGAGGGGACAGTGTTGCCTGTGACGGGCTAAAACAGTAGTGGGTTGAAGGTGGGCTGGTTTGAGTAGCTGGTCAGTTACCTCTTTATTCCATTGTAGTGGAACTGTAGTGGTGGTCAAGGCTTAGAGCTGAGATATGGACACCATACAAGTGGCTTTTCCAAATCAGAACGGTATAGAAAATAATGAAAATGTCTAAATTAATTGAAAATATATCAATCTATTTAAATATAAATCAGTGAAATATTCATAATTATAATTAAAATAAATAAAGGATAAGTATGACATGAATATAAAATACAGAAATGAGAGGGGTACAAGTTGTACTAGTGTGGAGATCTTACACAAATATATTGAATAACCTCTACTTCTGTAAAATACAGCTTGTCAGTGTTACGTTTCTCCTTAGGGTCTTCAAAGTCCGTTAGGATTCAGTTAGAAAATGGATGGGTGGACTGTAGGGTGGTGAAGGACATGGTGTTAAACTTTGAATTGACCCATTTCCCTCTCTCTTCTGTGAGAGATGTCTCTTCAAAAGGAGGGGATCTCGTCTGAAGGTGTGAAAACGCAGATGTTATAAATCCTGTTCCTCCTCCTGCTGTAATGGGCATATGCCCAGAGATCAATCATTCTTACAGACATTCTGGACTGCGGGAATGAAGGTGTCAATATTATGGGTGTGCTTTAACAAGACAGATAGCGCGTCTCAGATGTCATTGGAATAAAAGATCCTGATGGCAAAGAACTGTGAACGCTCTCGCACCTGAAGAAGACTGTACTGCCGAAACGTTGTGTTTCTCCTTTTTGTTTTTCAGCATGGTATTAGCCTGTAATGTTTTCCTTATTGTTATATAACTATATATAATGGTCTTACAAAGATTTTGGACATTTGTTACAGTAGGTTTATTTCAGATGAATTCTCTAAAATCTCAGAAAACGCGCTCCTCCCAGAGGAGGGCACGGAATGATGTTATTTTTCTGTAATAAAATGTATTTCTTACTTATTAACCACAGTGTGCTGTTTAATTTGTTATACCGCAGTGGGGTTTTTTTCATTATTTTTGCTACATTGATCAATATTTAACGATCAGTCTCTGTTGTACACACATTAGGAAATGTACTTTAAGTCATATTCTAATGCTTCTTCAGAACGTTTTTTTTATTAGTTAATTTGTGTACTGTGACACGGCAAAATGGTTTAATTGCTAAACTATTACCGGTATGCCATTTGAATTCTTATTTTTATCGATATCCAATTTTAAACGTTGAAACAATGGCATTCGCCCTAGAAATAAAAGAAAATCTATTAACCTTTATGTCGAAAGCCGATTGGAGTGAATGTTAAACACCCAACATCTGAAATATAATGCGTGATGCGACCGGCAGAGGGCAGAACCGCTGCGACATCGGGCTTGTCGCTCGCCATGAATCTGCCACCTGCTGTCCCTGATTGGCGACTGATATTATTTTCTTCTTTCTCGATCTCAACTTTTCATTGGGGGACGTCACATCAAGAATCCGTATTCCACACCGCCCATATCACCGAGCTGGATTCTGGGACTTGTTGTCCGTTAGCACACTTCCTTTGGCGGATGTCTACTGTACTTCTTTCATACAAGAACTACATCTACCATATTGCAACGGGGCACCGAAATCGTGGGGCAATGTTATCAAAAAGAAGGACCGTTTTTAAAGGGAAACCCAAGGTTATTTGGGTTTAAGGTGGGATATCAGGTTTGGGTAAGTGTGCGATGTTTATATATTTTACACTTTGTGCGAATATTTTCTCCGGTTCGAAAAGCTTAACCGGCGCTGTGTGACCTAAACATGTAACATCAACAACAGTCCCACAACCGACTCTTCCTGTCTTGAGATCTTGGGTTCCCCGTGGTTATTAAATGGATGTAACTGATGGTGTAGTTGCGTTTTATTCCCCGGTTTTCCAGGAACGGGTAGTTTAAGAAATCAATTAGTGATGGGTCTGTTTGGCGAGGTCTGCATATTCATCTATAAATAAATAAGTTGGCGCATTCACACTGTCACAAAGTACATACACTATATACTGTGAGGCAGCGGAAAAGAAGTTACGTGCAGTGGAACCTCCGCCATTTGATACATATTTTTTGGTTACAGTTTTTATTCTCCTTCTGTGATTTTTGGTTGGTCTTCTTTTTTAACATCTACGTTTACCGATTGCAATTTCGGAGTGCTGGCCGCAAGTGTTGTTCCCCAATGGCGATCTTACGGACACTTCTGGTTTTTATAGGTTTCTAGCTAGATTAAATTCACGTTTTGCAAAATAGATGTCCTCGTTGCTCCCAGGTTGTGGTGTTTTTGTCGGTGCCTAAGTAACGTCATCTTTTGACAAAAAAAATACACATGAACAAATCTGCACGTTTTCTTCTTCGTGATTTAACTTCGTTATGACCTGTAATGGAGCATCTTTTCCTGAATTATCTTGCTCGCGTTCAAAAATGAACGTCTATCTGAACAGCAGTACTGCAAGTATTTATGTTGCAATAAGACGACTGCTTAATTCGAATAAGTGTGGCATTTTAATCGATTTTTTAAAAGCTTTAGATTCTGACGTTTTTTAAACTTTCTATATATTAGCGACTTTTTATCACATAATACGATAAATTATGTACTGTACGTGATTACATTTTAAGAGGTTCTTAACCCAGTTCGTCGTTATAAATTGCTTTCTCAAAATCCTAATATTTTAACACGCGTAACCTCTTGGGCAGCTATCGTGAAATGTACTCTTTTAGATAAAACAATGGACTTGAAATGTTTTTCGTCTCTTCTTGTAAATTTATAGGGTTTTTTTTCTTTCAATTAGTTAAATTTGTTACATTCCTTTTATAGTTAAAAAATATCCTTGTAAAAAGTATGAAACTACGTCATAAGAATGGGAAATCTGATCAAATTTGTGGGAAATCACTTCCTGCTTCGGAAAGATCAATGACTTTCTTCCTTCGAACTGGTTAGCTATTGAATGATACCTTCTCGGAGGAACTTGGTTTCGTAATCGCTTTCTTAATCCTTTGACTCTTGTTCATAAAGACAAACAGATACACTAGAAGAGTTCTTCACATTTGTCCCAGAGCGCGGGTTATAGTGTGTTTCAGATTCTAGACTTTTGTTTAGGGATAGCGTCCAGGTTTTTATGTGCCCATTATGTGTTTTGGACCAGTAATTATAAAGTGTTATGGGGCCTCTAAGAAAGTATAATAGAGGCTTTAGGCAGCCTGTTTCAAAGGAAACATCATTGAAGGATCTGTCTCTGTTACCTGGGTTTCACAAATGATTGTGACTACTGTCGTGATTATACAGTATATACTGTGTTAGTAGTTGGGGGGAAACAGTAATCTTGTGTTTCATAACTTTTTGGAGTCTATTTTCTTCTCCACTTCTGGTATGCAACTTGCTAAGACTTGTTTTCGTTAGCCCACACAAGCCCAGAGCAAGCTTTCTGAGAATCTGAATCTGTCCTGCCCAAGCTCTTTCTTTGTGATAACTCTGTGATCTGTGCGGGAAAGGCGTCGTGTCCTGCTTGTTCGTGCTGAGAGGAACGGTCCTAGTACATCGTGTCCTCGCCTCAAACAACAGTAAGTGAGAAATTCAGGAAGGCAGGAGAAAACGTCGACCAAAAGTGTCAAGGCTTTTTTTTTTGTGCTGCTTTCCTTCAGAGACTTCCCAGGATTACAATGGTTTCTCTGAAGAGCGCTTTAAAGATGATGAAAAATGTATGTTCTCAGTGATCGCCAAGAACAGCACATATCATTATCCAAACACGGAAAATGCTGCTATCGTAGTAACCAGGGAGAGTGGGGGGTACAGCCTATCTATTTTCACTCTTTCAATTGGGGTGCAGCAGCAATGATCTGATGGAGGCATTGTGGACACTATGAAAGAGATAAGATCAGATCACTTTATTGGCCATATACAATTTCTTGCATGAGGAATTTGTCTTTTCGCATACCCCAGCTTGCTCTCCATGAGACACACAGACAGGGAGAGAAGCTTGGGGTCAGAGCCCAGGGTCAGCCATTTATACGGAGCAGTCGGGAAACAGTTGGGGTGAAGGGCCTTGCTCAGGGGCCCAACAGAGTGGGATTCCTCTGCCGGCCGCGGGATTTGAACCGGCAACCTTCCAGCCACGGACGCTGAGCCTTAGCCACAGAGCCACCGCACCGTACCAAAAGGGATGTTTGTGAAGAGTTGTGGTCCATGTCGGTAATCAGGACGCGGAAGTCGTGGATCGTGTCTTTTCCGTTCATATAGTCCAGTGTGAAGACCTCCCTCCTGGATTTCTTGGTGTTTTGAGTGGCGTTCCTGTGTCTTGGCAGGTCTGGGAAGGCCGGGGGTGTCAGATGGTCCAGTCGGCAGCAGGAGCAGACGCAGCAGTATTGTCCTCCTCATGTCCCTCCTGTCCAGCCTCCTCTGCTAGTCTCCTCGTCCTGCCCGCCCCGGCCCGGCCCGATCCCTGTCCCCGCCCCGCCTTCTAGCCTACCTCTTCCTCATGCTTTGGACGCCCGCGACTCCCCAATGACTGCCTGGATCATTCTCCCCGTCAGCCTCTCTGCCTTCTCCATCACAGGGATATGGATTGTGTGAGTACCGCACGCGCGCCCCGCCACACCCACACGCTCGGCGTTGACACAGGTGCCCCCGCATAGCGGTCGCATTGGCACACAGCCGGGCTCAGGACCTGGCAGGCCTTGGGCACAGAGAGGACAGCCCGATTTGCATGCAGATATTAGAAGAGTGCAGACAGGCAGAGCCGAGAGCACGGTAACGGGGTTAATGATGATGTTCAGCGCTACAGGTGCGTCCCAGAAGATTCGTTTGGTAAGTGATTGGACCTGGATGACCTGGTTTATGGGACAGATTTGAGATGTTTGAATTGAGTGCTCCAGGGGTGGGGGAACTCTCATTGTACTATGTGCCTGGATAGATTTATCCTAGAGCTTTCCCTCTGTCGTTCATGGGTTTAGAATCCCCTTCTTCTGTCGCTCAGCTGTAAACAGTAAGCTCTGCTGTGTCCAATGCTGAGCACTGGGCAACCATGGTGGACTCTACTCCCATGCTCCTCAGCCTTGTGCTCCCCTATATGAGACACCCATGAGCCTTGAATACATCTGCTTGGCATGGCTCTGGCATGTCGTAAATCTTCACTGACTTTACTTCTTCCCGAATACATCACCCATCTAAAGCTCTGCTACTGCGTTTACACCACCATGTTTTAGCCAGTGTTCGGATTGTTCTGTGCTGAGCTGCCCCTGTGTGTTTTGAATACTCCACAGATACTGTACGTGGCGAAACAGTTTTCAGGTCACACTGATGCAGTGGAGCTGTCTGGTTTGCACACTTGCTAATCCAGCCAAGTGTGTGTTTCGCCTTCTAGGTATGCCATGGCAGTGATGAACCATCATGTTTGCCCTGTAGAAAACTGGTGAGTCTTTTTCTATTTTTCTATTCTATTCTTGCTCCATAATAAATTAGGCAGCTGGTTTGAGTGGAGGTGTGTAGGCCTGTATTTTCATATCCTGGGCAGGATCTGAAGCTATAGCCTTGAGCAAGGTACTGTGCTTGGATTACTGCTGTATGAATGTGCACAAATGGAAACATTGCTTTTGGATTAATGTAAATTATTAATTGTTGTATATTGGGATAGATTAAGGCAGAATGAACGTTGCTCATTCTGCCTTAATCTGTGTTTGTTTTCTCATTATTGTTCTTAAACAATAGATTGAGGAGGAATCCTTTTCATCCATTTCCCCTGAGAGAGTCAGCTGTTGTTAGTCACCAATAAACTGGGGGGTAGGGAAGAGCTGAGGGGTATTAAGTGTGTGGCGTTACTGATTGATGGGTACATAGCCAAGATGCTTGCCCGAAGCATGTAATCTGTACTAAGATATAGCTGAGCCATCTATATAGAGAGCACAGTCGCAAAGCGTTTTTAAAAAATGGAAAAAAGGTAAATTAGCAAAAAGCAAAACATTTTCAAACATTTGATCTAATCTGAATGCAACATTACCACTTTTGAAACAGAAAGTTTTGATCAAAATCAAAATGTTTAGCATAATAGCGGTCTGTGCAAAAGCAAGTATTTATTTCATGAAATGGCATTTCATTGTGGATTTGTTAAGGAAGCACTGAATGGGTCAGATCAGGCTGCCTTTTTCCAGCTCTTCATGGTGCCTTGGTTTGCTGGTCTTTGTTCCAGCTGAGTCCAGATTAAAATTTTACGGACAGTAATTAAAAACAATACTGGTTTTTAATTATTTAGGTTTTTGAAGTGATGTTTTGTTTGTAAAAAATCTTCTCGTTCTTAACCTGCAAAATACAGTGTTTAGAAGCAGAAAACAATGACAAATGTTTGATCACGCCGTTGGTTTGATGGAGCTACTGAGAGTCCAGGGTGCAAGGAAACCAGTGGAGAATGGGGTCACCAGGTCCAGGATTGGGAAACACTGGGCTAGTTTTAGCACACAGAACCAAGAACGTAATGGATTGTGTCCCAGTGTGATAGCTTCAGCCCACTTGCACTGTTTCAGTCACCCTGCTGTCGTTGTTTCCATAGGTCGTACAATGTGTCGTGCTCAGAGGAGACCTCCAAACAAGGCTTTCCAAAGAGCTGCTGCACGCTGCAGGACATTCCTCTCATCAGGTGGGTACCCTGGCTCTGCTGGCAGCACACACACTGAGTTTTATATTCACAGGATTTCCAGTGGCACATAACTTGTTATTATAATAATAATGCATAATTGCTTACACTTGTATAGTGCTTTTCTGGGCACTCCACTCAAAGAACTTTACAGGTAATGGGGACTCCCCTCCACCGCCACCAGTGTGCAGCCTCATCTGGATGATGCGATGGCAGTGCACCAGTACACTCACCACAAACCAGCTCTCAGTGTAGAGGAGAACAGAGTGATGAAGCCAGTTCAGAGATGGGGATTAATAGGAGGCCAAGATTGGTAAAAGCCAATGGGAAATTTGGCCAGGATGCCGGGAGTACACCCCCTACGTTATTCTCTGTTGCATTTCTGTTGGGGCAAAGCAATAATATTTAATGTCCCTTTCAGTCTCACATTTTGTCATGGCGAGATTTCCAATAGTCAAATAGGTGGTCATGTTGTGCAAACAAATGCTGATGGTCAAAGATGAGAGGTGTTGTTAACAAATGTAGATTTGCATGGAGCATTCACTTTGTCATAAAACTGTGGCCCAATATGCCTTAATCCAATATAAAGAATGCTAGTAATGATAGAGGGTGGCGCAGTTGTGAACATTGCTGCCTCCGCAGTGGTGGGAATACATGCCTTACATGGCATGTCAGTGTTGTCTCTTCATGTGCTTGTTGAGTCAAAGGTAATTGGATAAAGTAGGTTAAGGCATGCAAGTCACTTACCATAGCTGAAGGAAATACTGTCACAGAGTAATACTTAAGCTGTGCCATGCAATGTGAACGTCGGCGTTGTGAATCTGTTGTATTTGAGTTTGGCTTCCCATTCATCTCTTGCAGTAAATGTGGCTCGTTCCCCCCGGAGAGCTGCCTGTTCAGTCTCATCGGGAATGTGGGAGCGTTTATGGGTAAGAAACCAATGTGAAGGAGCGAAGAATGCCAGGTTCCTTTATGAGTTCAGCTTCTGAAAGCCATGATTGTGAGATATTGATGCACAAAAACTGACTTCAGATCACACCAGTGTAAATACCTGGTGTTTAAACCAATCATTTTGATGGTGGAACAGTTCAGCTGGGTGAAAATCCAATGAATGCAGGTGCGATTGTATACAAATTATGCATATGCAAGATTTTGTCCGTTTTTATTTATGAATAACCTGTGCATATCTATTATAAGGTATAGACCTTGAAGTATTTTGGGTAGTTGTCCTGTTGCTGAAAGTGGCTGATAGCCCTGCTCTAAGAGCAATCCTAGACATATTTGCTGCCTTTATGAAATCATTAATGAAATTATGAAATTAGTTTTGCTAGGCATTACAAATTTGGTGCAATTTACCATCAAGGTGTGACTGATTCTGCTATTAATGTATACAATTCCAGGTTTGAAATTGTTTGTTAAGGGTATTACTTTATATTACTTTACTGTTCTTGCCATTGTTCTCATGGTTTCGTGGTGTAGTTCTTCCTGTTCAGAAGCTCTCAGCAAATTGCACAGGTTGAGTCTGATCTCTAAAAGTCACCGGTGAGACTCCTGGTTGTGAAGCTTTGCCAGTCTTGGTAGGGAATAGAGTTATCTTGGCCTTTGAGCTCCTGCAGGTAGGAGAGGGAAAATTCGGCAACATGGTCCCCATAGGGGAGAGAGTCCTGATGCAAATGAACAGATTACATTAAAATTGATGAATGTTCTCACTGCAAACCTGCCATTAAATCTGTTTGTATCTAGGGCCATATCGACCATTTAAATAGATACTTTATTGATCCCGTGAGGGAAATTGCAGTGCAACAGCAGCTTAGCACAGTCAACACAGCACAGTGTAACGAAATGATACAATAAGACACCAATACAATACATACAATCCAGTCAGTACAGTCAGTGAGAAATGCAGTATAAGTAAAAAAATGGATCATACAGAGTTGCTCACGGTACAAAATATACAACAACAGACCCGAAAGTACAGTTGTATTGCACATGGTAAATATATGCTCAGAATACATGAAATGAGCTATGTGAAGGGCTGTGAGCTGCAGAAGTAATGAGTTATGTAGAATGCAGGTCATATAAGGAATGAGTGGGGAGACCCAACAGGCTGCATTGGTTGTAAAGGTTAATGTCCATGCTGAAGAATAGACAGAAGTTTAAGGTACTATAGATATACTGGTAAATTGTACTGTGGAACAATAATATGTACAGTAAGTATCCACAGAGAATAAATACATGAATAAATCCAGGTATAAGTGCTCTTAAGGGTCAGCTAAAATCTGCAGGAAATAAACATATAGAAAATAAAGCTTAAACTCTGCGATGTTATAGTGTCGCATCCCAAGTAGTCTTCCATATTAAGGTTTTAGCACCAATATCTTCACCTTCTTCTACCCTAGTTTCTGTGAAAGCAAGTTTTTTTTTTTAAATAAAAAAAAATTCAAATTGTCCCCCACCTCCACGCCCATGATAAAGGAGGAAGCCTTAACGATGCATCTGCTAGCTGTACATATTGATGCGTGCTAAACAGACATCAATAATGGATGGGCCCCTTGCTGTAATGAGCTGTAGGATGGGGGAGGTCTGTGCATTGGGAATGGAAGTGGGAATGGAACATTAATACACAGCTCCAGTAATGAGAGACTGGCAGGCAGGATTGCTTAACAGCCTTGCACGTGTGCAGAGCACTGGAACATCAGCTCCCTGCCAGGATGGAGCTGGGCGTTGCAAAACTCAAAATGTGGCAAAGAGTTGAGGTCTCTTTTTTTTTTGTAATTCTGTATTGTCCCCATCTTGCGTTATCTGCTGGAGGTGGCTTTTTGCATAATTCCATAATTATTTAGCATTATATGGAGTGCTTGGTTTTTCAAACAAATTAGTTGGTGTAATAATGCTTTGTGTGCTTCAGTATCTGACCCATTTAATGTAAAACCGTTTACAGCACTTTACATACCCATGTTGTTAGTAAAGCTTAAGGCTAAACCTGGGTTCTGTTTGCTCAATGCAGGGCTTTACAATTAAATTTCCTGTTCCATGTCTTAAGAGCCAGTCCTAGATATGTGGTGAGTATGAGCCTGGAATGGTGTGGTGCTTTAGGACCAGGAGATTAGAGCAGGAACTCCAAATCCTTCCCTGCATGGTAAACTGTATTTGTTTTTTCCTTACATCTCTCGGTCTGCCTTCCCCTCCACAATCCGCCTCCTCCCTCCCTCCCCCTCTCGGTCCTCCTCCGTCACCTTCTCTCCCTCCCCGCTCTCCAGTGGTGATGGTGTGTCTGCTGCGGTACGCCCAGGTGATCGAGCACAGCCGGCGCTCCTGGGTGAACACCAGCGGCCTCATTACCGGCTGCACCAACGCCCTGGGTCTCGTCATGGTGGGGAACTTCCAGGTCAGTGCCCCTGCTGCTACACTGGAGGAGCCCATGTGCCTTCCTGTTTGCGTAAAGATGCCTCTTCATGTTCACGGCCGCTTTACTAAGAGAAAGAGCTGCAGTCAGTTATAGCTTTGTAGCCCCTTTTGCTGTAGGGGTTAAAAAAGGAGTCAGCGTTAGATCTAGGAAAGTTATGGTAAAGCTCTACAGTGCGATAGTAAGACCTCCTCCAGAATATTGTGTTCAGTTTTGGTAACTATACCACAGAAACATATCATAGCCTTGTGAAGAGCAACAGAGATGATTGGTGGATAGAGAGGTTCAACTGTGTAGTGAAACAAGGACACAGCATCGCAATTCATTTGGGACACAGAAGAGGAAACACTTCATTACTTTAAATCAGTTGGTCTTTAGAACAAGCTGAACTATTGTTTGCAAGCCTTTCTTATGTTCTTTTGTAAGAACACGTTCTTCAGAGGCAGGCATGCTGACAGACAAGTTTCTATGTGTTGCATCAAAGACAAATCTATCCATGTTAATGGTCAGTATACTAATGAACTGATGTGTCAGTTGAACAGTGCAAGTGAGTTGCAGGGGTCAGATATTTCCATTCAGGCTCAACACGCAGAGCACTGGTAGTTCAAATGATGACCTCACCCTGCCACCTCCATGAGCAGCTTTTTCAAGTGGCTTAACTCTGGGGGGGAGGGGTGTCCAGTCCTGGTCCAGTTTCAGCTAATGGTGCTTGAAAGAAGAGGCGAGAAACCTTGCAGACCCACCAGCCTTCCTGAACCAGGCTGAGACATCTGTGTTTCAGCTGCTGCTGTGGTCATGAATTGTAACTCATCAGCTCTGTGCGGAGTCAGCCTGGGCCTGTGCATGTCAAAAGCTGTTTTAATTTGCTGGTATGTCTATCCTTACCTCCCTTGGAGAGCACTGTAGCATTACATTTTAGAGCACAATTAAATACTTAGGTACAGGCAAGGACCTGTATATGCATGAGTGTTGTAAGTCTAAACACTTAATGTATAATTCAGTTTCATGTACAGTCCAATGAGTGCAGCATTCCTGCTGTCCTGGGATGCTATGCCTAGTTATATCAATATTTAATTGGCTGCTTATTTTAGTGTTAATTGAAATAACCCATGCCTGCTTTTAAACTCTAAAGTCACATGAAGTCAGCAACAGTGGCTCCAGTCATGGGAGATTAAGGACAGAGTACCCCCCCACACCTTAAACCAGACAGTATTTCTAGGCACTGCAGTGATGCTGTGTCAGCTCACCTAAAATGTGGAGTGAGCCTGCTCTGTTCCTGAACACATCTGAGCACTTTAGCTTTGTGTCCAGAAGAAAAATGTAACATCTTCCATGGATTGAAAGAAATAGTCAACTCAGTGTGAGAAAGTTATTCTCCTGCTTCCTCCTAACACAAGCAGAAGGCCTGTTGTAGACACATATCTCATGTTCTAGAAAGAAAGAACCAGTAAATACATCTGGATTCAATCCTCAAGCATGTACTTAAATAATCTGTCTGTACTTCTTGAGGCTTTCTTGCTCCACTGGATGAACACATCTGTCTGATCTTTGTTTCTTGCTTGTTTATAACTTATACATTGCTGGAAATGTTGTGATGTGTTGAGGTATTTGTGCAATACAGTGCATTGTTCACATTCGGGACAGCTGTGAAGAGTAAAACGTGTGGTTTTGGGGGAATGTGAATTAAAGAACGTGGCTAAACTGAAACGCCTTGGGTCTCTGTAGTTCCAGAGACACATGATTTGTGAAGTGGGCAAACTCTGTTTCACCAGACAAAGCAGCCTCTGTTGCAAAATGTTTTTATAGCCTTTAACTTGCATTCTGTTGTCTGCAAGCCTTGTAGGGGAAGGTGACAAATTAACCTTGTGATGGGCCTGTCCCTGAAAAATGAAGTCAGGGACATTTGGTACTGATAAAGGAAATGGAGGGTAGGGTAACGCAGGGAGCTGATAATCGCTGCTGGAGTTTTTTTTGTGGTTCGCAGTACTTGTCTCAGAAGCAGCCCGTTGATTGAAGCTTAATTCCCTGAAGTCTGACTGGTCTGTGTGGAATGTGTGGTGAAATCACGCACAGTGGGTATTAAGCGGGTGAACATGCAAAATCTGACTCTTGGGGTGATTTTCATTCCAGAAATTAAACTGGCCTAGAATAGGTCATTGTCGAAGCATAGCGCACTTTTAACATCATTGTTCCATTTCTTGGTGCTCCTTGCTTTATTACTGGTGACACTATGGAAGGACAAAATTGCCCCCCCCCTCCTCTCCCTGCGTCCCTGTGTTCTTCCCCAGCCGCTCAGGGGTCTCAGGCCTCCATGCTGCCAAAATACAAAACGGAAAACCTTTAACAGTCGTGCCGCACTTGAACAGAAAACGCTCTTGGAGGATATTCATTTGCTCCAGTGCTGGGCGGTTGGAGGAGGGCGGAGACACGTTGTCTCCTGGCCTGCAGTGTCCCAGCTCTGGCCGTCTCGCTCTTCCAGGTGGACCACGCCAAGTCCCTGCACTACATCGGCGCGGGGGTGGCCTTCCCAGCCGGACTGCTGTTTGTGGGTCTGCAGTGTGTGCTCACGTACCGCATTGCCATCACCGCGCTGGACTACTGGATGGCACACGTGCGTGTGGGGCTCACCGTTGTGGCCTTAATCTCCCTCATCCTGAGTATCCTTTGAACGGGGACGTACCATTTTGGAGGTGGTGGGTGGGGCAGCACTCTTCATCTGCTCTTTTTTCTTTCGTATGAGCGCAGAAAGAGATTTGGTGAATGCCATCATAGCGTTTGGCCGCCAGCGTCTAATCTTCTTGACAGGAAGGGATCGTAGCCAACAGGAAGCCCAGAATGAGGAGTCCCCAGTCCTGGTCCTGCAGAGCCAGTGTCTGCAGGTGTTCTAGGTCTCTTTAAAGCACCTGAAGAGCTGTAGGCACACTGGCCCTTCTGGGTGAAGACTAGGGACCCCTGGGCTATGGTGAATGCTGTATCCTGATGAGATTCCTGAAATCTGAGGAGTCTGGTAAGAACTTAAAAAGGCCCAAATGAGGAGGGAAGCAAAGGGGCCATGTTTTAGATCTGGATTTGTGTAGGATTACAAAAACTAAAGCACTGGCAACGTTTCGTAAAAAAAAAGAATGACGCACAGCTTTGCAGTTCGCTGGCTGGCAGAAGACCAAATGACCTCTTTCAGTAACGCGGGCAACTGAGTTTAAGAAGTGCAGGAAGTTCCAGGAATGCAGACAGTCGAGCTGTGATGGCTGTGGCAGCGAGCGTTCTGTAACAGTGTGGTTTTGTGAGCTGATAAGCTCATTTAGATAAAGCACCAGTGAGTTAGATAGCTGCTGGCAGAAAACTGATCTGGGCTCAGTGTATTGTAAAATAATTAAAAGAAACCGCAAACCGTAGCTCAGGGTGCAATTTATCTCTTTTTCTAAAGTTCAGTGGTGTAAAAAATGAGCTAAGGCACTGTGGCATTTGCTCCTCTTTTAGTTCAGCTAAACTACAAGAGGAGGGTGGCATGGCCTGATTCTGATTGGGGGCACCTTCTGTGTGGAGTTTGAATGCTCTACCCACACTCCCCTGGGTGCCACAGTTACCCCTCACCTCCCAGATACCAAAAACAGGTTCGCTTCATTGGAAATAATTGTCCTTTTCTGTGCGGGCATGTCCTTTAGTGCACTGCTAGCATCAGTGATAAAATTACAGGGATGTCCCTGGCATAGTAAATTCACTGGGCCCGTTAAGCCGTATATCTTTTCTATACTTACATGAGATGGACATGTCAATGCCTTAATGCACTGTTAGACTTTTAAGTACACAGGGAGTAATGGGTCATGAGTAACTGGACTTTTCGCAGAAAGCAAGACTGTGGGTTGTCCTGTTCCCTGTTACACTGCTACATAGAGATCTCCAGTTTTAGTGCAGTCCCAGCCCAGGGGGTACAGCTTTAACACCCTATCTATGGCTTCAGGAGTTATTGGATTCTTTCAGCAGGATATGAAGGCCTCACCCCCCTTCTGCCTTTATAAAAAATTCCTAGACCCCAGGTTTCCATTACCACAGCAACCACACACTTCTAAGCAGGACTTAGTAACCCGCTTAGAAGCCTGTGCCTGTATACTGAGTGAAACTGTTACTTGTATGCAATTTTATTTATCTGTGGGGAAAATACCACTCATAATTATAAGTGCATTTCCAAGGAGAACTGAAATTGGCCCTATAAAAAGTTTCTTTAGTTGGTTATTTGTCTTTTAAACGCTTTGCCAGTGCTGACGTACTTTTGTGTTGAATAAAATATGGTGATAACTGAAAAGCCAGAGACTGGTTTAGTCTTTGTTTTTCTGAACGAGTTTAATTTACAAGACAGGTTTTGAACCTTGGTTAAACATTTCTTCTTTGCACCTGGATTCTTGTAAGTCATAACTCTTGTGTGATTCATATAACTCTTGTGTGGCATGAGGAAAGATGCATTTATTGTGCATGTTAAAAGATGGTCTGACAAAAAATGATAGCTGGGACTATCATGTAGCTTTTTATTAATAAACACTGTCACGTTTGTCTGCTGCTTTTTTAAGACTACTGTAGATTAGGTCTCCTGTTTATTGTAGCAGTTTTTTTTTCGAAGGCTGGCAAACGCTGTTCATTCATAGAACACTTTGAGACTCTGTTAGTTAATCATTAGGCATTACTTTAAACATTACCTTACCCCCAATGGTTTCCTTGCCTGGTTCTGGAGGTCCTGAAGGAACACTGTCTGCTTGATTTTGATCCAGCTGTACAGTGATAAATGCATTTAAGTTTCCTATTTGAATGTTCTTCCCGTGTACATGTGGGTTTCCTCCCACAGTCAAAGACATACCAGTGGGTTAATTGACTACTAGGAAAATTGAATGTGGTTTGAGTGTGAGCGTGTTGTGTCTGTCTGTGTGCCCTGCAATGGACTGGTGTCTTTTCCATGGTGTACACCGCCTGGCGCCTGTTGCTTGCCAGGTTAGGCTCCAGCTCCCCTGCGACCCTGAAATGGATGAAGAGGTTAGAAAGTGGTTGGATCGATGGATTTATGACATCGTTTGCTGTTAATAGGTCGAATAGGTTTTGGGTTTTGGCCTCAACCCTGTGTCAGCTTCTGAGTTTCAAAAGTGCCCTCATTTGGTTGCACTGCCTTAAATATAAGCTATTGTACTCTGCAGATGGGAAAACCGCTCACTGTAGGTGTGTTTGACGGTGTCATCCCAACCTGTCTGTTTGTTAATTGTTAGTTTAATGAACATGAATGAATGAACATGAATGTTTAATGAACGATTAATTGATTAACTGGTAAGAGCTGTGTAGTCAGAAATAATGGGAAGTAGATTGAGGACAGGCTGTATTCTGGGTCTAATTGAAGAAACGGGTTAAAAGCCTGAGCTGGCTACAGGACTCAATCTGCATTTTGAGTAAGTGCCTTTACTAGTTGACCCACTGTTCCACCTTTTTGATTTTTTTTTTAGTGGCTTAAATGAATATATTGGCTATCAGCAGTTTTTCTAAGTTATAATTGTTTGTTAATTGCTAAGAACCCCTGAGCCCTCCAGGAAAATGACCACAGAAGATTGGAGTAGCCACTCTTCCCCCAATTAGCGTGGATTGGGATTGGCATGCCCTCCCCTCCCCCTTTGTATTTCCTTAACCCTGCTGCTCCCAGGTGGGGTCTTCTTCATCCACGAGAGCTTCCACCTCCAGCATGCTGCGGCCATCTGCGAGTGGATCTTCACAGTTGACATCCTGGTCTTCTACGGCACTTTCACCTACGAGTTCGGCGCCGTGACCAACGACACCATGATAATGGCCCTGCAGCGCAACCAGGGCCCCGGGGGCATCGGGGGCAAGAGCTGCAAGTCTCCGGGCAGCAGCAGCACCTCCACCCATCTCAACTGCAACCCCGAGAGCATCGCCATGTTGTAGCCCCCCCCCTGTCCTGCAGCTCGCCGGCTCCCCCTGCTGGATCCTCATAGGCGGTGCTCTGGAACCGCGGGGGGCAGTGTGGTTGGTGTGGTGTTGGGGCATCATGCAAACGCTAGGCACAGCCCATAAAACGCTAAAATGTACCTCAGTTTTGTATCGGAGTAACGCGACGTGGCTCAAATCTAAGTAGTAATAGAGGTGAGCACCACGAAAAAGTTTCAGATTGTACTGTGGTATATTACTGTGTAGGGAACAGTTGGTATTGCAGTCTCAGTATTATATATATGGGTAACTGTAATTATTTAAGGCATTCTGTTGTTTGTGGATTAAATTGTGGATACGCACATGGTTCCTCCCTACGTAGTCTCACAGGTGTAATGCATCATGGTTGATAACGGGTGACACCTGACTTTTTGTTTCTCCAATGTTTACTCTGCAGAGTCTTTAGGGACTGTGGAGAAGTTCAGAGTTTTTTTAGTAACAAAAGTAGCCCCCCTGGACTGTAGAATACGTGAACTCTTAAGCAGACATTTGATCTGAGCCTCTACGTACACACACCTTATTCCACTGATGATTTCTTACAAACAACAGACTGTAGGAGCTGCTGTACAAGTTACCCTGTATGTATATTGAACGCAGTACTTGAGGTCAGGCTCACGATGACTGCTGTAAATTGTGGTCTTTTTAAAAGCTTGAGGAGTTGCTGTGTGCTTATTTTGTAAGCTAAAAGCCATCAACCTGCATAGCTGTGAGCTATCACAGCACGTATGAAACAATCATGTAAGGTTCTGTTTCCCTGTAGTTTTTGGACCTTTTTTGGCTAACAGGATCTTGTTGGGTCTTAGTGTTTTTTTTTTTAATTTGCCTCTTGGCATGAAAAATAGATATAAAAATGATGCTATATTGCTGACAGTGTTGGCTATCAGTTTATTGATTCCCTTTGATTTAAAAATGTTTTAAATTGTTTTGTTTTTTAGTCACCAAATGGTTATCCCCCAAGAAAATTCATTGAGTCTCTTGGACCGAATGAGGCTTTTCTGTGGTAGCCTCTTGACCAGCACTAGTCCTCAGAAGCTTTAAGAAGACCTCATTTTATTTGGCACTGCATGATCAACACACAAAGGCCAAAGATCTCAGTCTGCTGTTTCAAGCATCAGGTCTGTAGAAACTTGGAACTGTGGAATTTCTGATTGACACAGTTCCATATTTTATTTAGTTAAGAGTTAAACAGTCTAGTTGAAAATTTACAGGCCTGAAAGAAAGTAGGCTGAAGTCTAGATACAAAGCTCATTATTTTTGGTCTGAGGGAATAAAACTGCTTTCACGATCACGATCTCTGAGCTCAAACTGCCAAGTACTTTAGACATTTGAACTGCGTGTTGCATTAAACATGCAGCATCATTCACAACACCATTAAGAGTGAGGTCTTTGGCCTAAGGCACTTTGGTCAAACCTGTGTGCATTTTGGTGTTGCAAATTTCTTGCGCGTTCTTGTTTATTGTTTAAAAAAAAAATTTAGGCTGGGGAAAGCAAAAATAGCCCAGATTCAAATTTCTCATCTTTTGTTTTCTGTTTGCTGTGTGTCCTGCTGAACATGTTGATGTGCTGTTGGAAACTAAAAGCCATAGAAGCAGACAGGCTAGTGGGAAGCATGCAGTGCGCACAGGAGAGCTGTGACTCTTGCCTGCCTTGCTTACTCGCTGTTGGTAAGCGTGTTGTGATAAGGGTTGGATGTTTGCTTTTTTTTTTAACGAAAAAGCATTGGTACTTTTTGTTTTTTAACTGTGTTTGTATGCCATATCCCATGCACTCGTGTGGGCAGCGGTTTCAGTTGCTTCCGTCACTTTCTCCACGGAAGGTGCCCCCAGGCCTCGGAGGCATGCTGGGACTCTGGAAAGGGCGAAAATATTTCTTTGATTCTCACAGAAGCATTACATGAGATTTCCTGAAAATCGCAATGGTCGTGGTATAAATCGGCAGCTACACCTCTCCCGTTTTTGATTGCGTCTGACAACAGCACCAGCATCGCAGTCCATATGAGCCAGTTTATATTCTCCTCGGTGTCCAGTTTTGTTTCCTGCAAGGCCCCATTTTTGAGCTGTTGCGTTGCTAGGCTACGCCGCCAGATGTAACCTGTCTTGTGTCTTGGCCAGCCCTTCTCTCAGGCCGCTAAGTTGACTTTGCGCAGAGTGTGTTTCAAAGGTCCCCTGGCCTGTCTGTGGTACACAAATCTCCCTCATGCCCCCGTTTCCTTGTTGCAGTCCTGCCAATTTTTTTTTCCGGTACTGCCGTCTTCACTTTGCATTTATTTGTTTTTTTAACATGGGGAACACTGCTAGAATGCTTTGTCTTTCACTTCAGAGAAAGGGGACTGTTTGAGGGGTTCAGTGGCTTTGCTGATCCAGGGCCCAGGCTGGTTGGTAAGGCAGCCACAGTACTTGTTTCAGAACAGGGAAACCAGTTAATGGCGCTGTATAACAATGGTGGTTTTTTTCTGTATAATAATATAAACTTCAAGGCTGGTTCCTTGAACGGTGCAGAAGTTACAATTTTCTAGTTTTTAGGATTTCTAGTATTAAGAGTCCAGAATATGGCTCTACACGTGCTGTACATTTCCACTGTGTTTCCACTGTGAATTCAGTGTATGTTATCAAACTAATGGAGAGGAGCTGCCAGCTGTGGGATTGTGTCAGAGTCTGCACATCCCATGAGTTCAGAATTTATGGAGGGGGAATTCGTTATGTTATACAGCACCACCTCCCTGTGGTAACAAGGATACAGCTGCAGTTGAAAGTAAAGCTTCCGTACAGCTATCTGTGCATTTTAAAACTTGTTAAACAGTTGCACTATGCTTACTCCTGTAACAAGAACATTTGTTATTGCAAAGCTCAGAAAATCAACCTACTTTGAAATTCCCTTTTCTAACCTCAAGACAAACACCAGCTACCTTCATTGACCATAGGAGGGCACTGCAGTGGCGACTGAGATTTCCTGCGGGGTTGTGGGTCTGAAATTCCCAGCTTCCACAGTGAAATGGCGAATACACCAGCCTCCGCTCACGCTACTAAGACTTTGCCAAATGTCAGTATTCAACGGTGCCCGTTTCTTTCTGTGGCGCTGAGAGTTTTCTGTGCCCCAGTGGCTGTGAACACTAAATGTTTGCTTTGTAGCCAAAGCGTCCTCCCCATTGCTGCCGTTGTGATCTCACTGTCGGGAGACAGGAGGCCGGCGGCTCACCCTGCCCCATCCCCCCTGACACTGTGCTGCCGACTGGTAGGGAAGTGCTGGAAGGGGTTCTTCTGTGCGTGCTTCTGGATTTCTGCCCGCACAACCAGTCAGGACAGGCTGGAGTAGTTTTTCTGCTTGGAAGGGCTTGTGAGTTTTAAGGAGCTGGGGACGGGATAACTCCAGGGCCCCTTTGCATTTAAGAGTTTTGTTTGTTTGTTTTTTTTTATAAAAAATGTGTTCTTCTCAATGCATTCATTTCAGGTTTCCTTTACTTGTGTGTTCCACATTAATACTGAGTTTTGCTCTGAAACCTCACTCAGTGCTAGCAGTTGTTTTGTGAATAGTTCCCTGCCAAATTGGGGGGGGTGGGCTGCTTTCGTTGTTCATAACTCCACCACCTAGCTGCTGTCTAGGCTGGCCAGTTCATCACAAGATTTAAGGTTGGACCCTGTCTCGTGGCGAAGATCTTGAGCAAATCTCCTGTGTGTATCAGCTGGCCTTTTCATTCTTGTTTGCCACCCACAGTTTCACTTCACTGGAATGTTTATTTCCTGTTTGTCTGGTCTTCATAATCAAGAGTTTATGGAAGCCGGAATTAAAAATGATTTTGTTAATACTGTTCATTAGCTCTTGTTCCATCCCTTCTTCTTTGGCTGATCTAAAACCTGAATGTCAGAACTTTATAGGTTAAGAAATGTGATTGGCCTTTTTTAATGTCTACAGTTTGTATGTTTTTTTTTACATGAGAAGTTTTGGCTTTAGGGGGAATTTTGTGTTACAATTCAGTGTTTACGGTTTAACTTTCTTCCAAACAAAATGGTAAGGTGTGCCAAGGGGGGACAAAACATCTATCATAGAAATATTAATTGTAATATTCATCTAATATTAATGCTCTATAAAGCAGAACTTGCAGAAATTTCGTTGACAGTGGGTCTCCCTGATCTCAGGCATTGACACAGAAAACAGTAGTCAAACTGTAAGAACAAAATCAGTGATGTAAGGAAAGAGCTTAACCCTCCAGCAGCACAGCTGAGAACAGCACCAGCCACATAAAGCTGAAGCAAAAGCGCAGTGGAGCTGGGAGGCCCATTTAAAAAGTGCTGTCGTGCAGAATTAAATTATTTTTTAAAAAATATGTATATTTCAGTTTTTATGTGTATATAGACAGGTGTAGTGGGTGGATGGAGGTAGATTTCTACTAATGTTTCTCCGAGTTGTCAGAGTTCTTGCTCCCTGGCTGGGGCAGTATATTGGCCAGCGTGGGGGCGGGGCAGTATATTGGCCAGCCGGTGTGTGGGGGGCGGGGCATTTTATTGGCCAGCCGGTGTGGGGGCGGGGCAGTATATTGGCCAGC